GAGCCTGAGAGACTGGGTGGAGGGGGGTGGAGGTTACATGGTTGAGTGGAGAGATTACACCTGGGCAGATCAGGCAGGCGGCTCTGCAGAGAGGCAGAGGGCTGAGTGCACAGTCCAGTTGAGGCCGAGTTTTTTTTTTTTTTTTTTTCACACAAACTCCAATTTTATTAAAGTAATTTGATACAGTTGGGGGCAAAATCTGAAGACATTGAGCTATTGAAGTAAATTAATTTTTTCCCAAGTTAAGAATACATCAAAACCAAAGACCAATTCTTGGGGGTGGAGAAAGAAAAGACCCTGAAGAAAGAGGTGAAACTCAAACCAATGGCCCTCAAGGAGTCCACAGTTGTGGCTTTCCCCAGAGTCAATGTCCAGGACTGGTAGACGGGAAAGCCATGATTACCAAGGAGACAGAAAGGAGAGGGTGATGTTGGTGGGGGTGGCAGTGAGGCAAATTTTGAGAAAAAAAACCAAACAGATAAAACCAAAGGAAAAAAAAAGGGGCTATTGAAAAGACATGGTGACAGCTTTGGTTGCAGCTGCAATGGCAGTGGTGGCAGTGATGGCAATGGTTGATTTGGTGGTGTCCAGAAGAGGGGGACCTTTGTGGCCTTAGCACCATGGAATTGTAGTGCTCTCAGAGGTCCCAGGGGTGGCACAGGTAGACCAGGGTGAGCAGCTTCTTGTTGTACTCCTTCCAGGTAACAACAGCAGGTGAATCGGCCTGCATTACCTCCATGATTGTATACAAGACTTGTGACCGGGTCCTCAACTGAAGCTGCCCTCCCCATGACACTTTGCACATGATGTTGCAGTATCTCATGAAGTGGTTGTGGGTGCCATCATCGTTGATGTTCGAGTCACTGAAGAATGGCATGAAGTCATTAATGTGCTTCTGCATGTACTTGGAGGTGCGGTGACACCACTACTAATGGCCACTGAGGACATCAGCTGGTCTTGGATGGTGTGATACATGCAGTGGCCGTTGGAGGCCGGGGATTTTTAAGGAGATGGGTCTTGCTTCCCCACCTCTGCTCCTCTTGGAACAAAGGGCTTTTTGGATGTAAATAGAAAAGCTTCTATCTGAGTTTTCCCCTGAAGGTATCAGACAGGAGGAAGCCCAGCTGGTACCATCCTGAGTTTAGAGGAAGGGTGAGCAAGACCCCTGCAGAATGGGGCTCTGGAGCAGGGTGTTTGAAGAGCAAATACTGGGCTGTACCTGGGAGATTGTGGAAAATTTGTCAGGCAGAAGGGGCGGGGACCTCCACCTGGCAGGTTATCAGGTAGAAGGGGGCAGGGCAGGATGCGAATACCGGGCTGCCCCTGAAACATTGTCAGGATGACTTTGAGATGCAGATGCATATGCTGGACATAGATGTCTTCTCTTTAGGCCTTTATGTCACACACACATAAGCTCATAACTGACTTCCTACCTAACATTCCCCCCTTAAGAGGTAATACCCAAAATTCTTCTTTGGGATTATGGATGGAGTTCCGTTTTCTGTAACTTCTTCAAAGCTGGCATGTGGGCGTTGAGGGGGATTTGGGTATTTCCTCTTGCTATCGAGAGACAGAGATTTTCTATCTACTGCTTTACTTCCCAAATGGCCACAATAGCCAGAGCTGAGCCAGACCAAAGCCAGGAGCCTGGAACGCCCACCTGGTGAAGAGGCCCAAGCAGTTGGGCTATCTTCCACTGCTTTCCACAGCATTAGCAAGGAGCTGGATTGGAACCAGCACCCATTTGGAATGCCAGCACTGCATGTAGTGGCTTAGCTCACTGTACCACAATACTGGCCCTGATTTTTACATTTTTACAACAGTTTTATTACATACATATGTGCTCCTAAACACTGTAGTGTTTAGTTTTGCTTATGTTAATGTCCCTTTTGAATATTTGCTTTAAACAACAATATTTTATCTCTAATATTTTATGTTCCTTAATTGAGTAATTCATTTCTTTAACACATTATTTGGTAAATAGATAGAAATATTGTTTTCAATGAATTTTACCCTCTAAATAATAATATATCTTTCTTTTTTGACTTTGATTGCTATGAATCCCATATTATGATATTAATATCCCTGTTTTCAAGAAAAATAGTGTGTATGTGTAAGTATGTACTAAATGTCAGATTTTGAAGTTTACATATTAACTGAATAGAGCAAAATGTTAAAATTATTGAATCTAATAAATAAATAAATAAAATCATAAAAATAAATTTCTTTAACAAACAGTTCTCATAGTTAAATTTTGGACTCTTTCTTTTTTTTTATTTTTGACAGGCAGAATGGACAGTGAGAGAGAGAGACAGAGAGAAAGGTCTTCCTTTTGCTGTTGGTTCACCCTCCAATGGCCAACGCAGCTGGCGTGCTGCGGCCGGCGCACCGTGCCGATTCGAAGGCAGGAGCCAGGCGCTTATCCTGGTCTCCCATGCGGGTGCAGGGCCCAAGGACTTGGGCCATCCTCCACTGCACTCCCGGGCCATAGCAGAGAGCTGGCCTGGAAGAGGGGCAACCGGGACAGAATCCAGCGCCCCGACCGGGACTAGAACCTGGTGTGCCGGCGCCGCTAGGTGGAGGATTAGCCTATTGAGCCATTGTGCTGGCTTGGACTCTTTCTTTTAAAGATTTATTTATTTATTTGAAAGGCAGAGTTACAGAGAGGCAGAGAGACTGGTCTTCCATCTGCTGGTTCACTCCCCAGATGGCTGCAATGGCCAGAGCTGCGCTGATCCAAAGCCACAAGCCAGGAGCTTCTGAGTCTCCCACGTGGTGAAGGGGCCCAAGGACTTAGTAGAGAGCTGGATTGGAAGAAGAGCAGCTGGGACTGGAACTGGAGCCCATATGGGATGCTGGCACTGCAGGCAGCAGCTTTACCTGCTACACCACTGTGCTGGCCCTGGGGACTCTGACTTTGACAATGAGATGATGTCAGAGGGATCCTGAGGGCCTTGATACCCTTTGAAAGTTCCTTCAGATAACTCATATCAGCATTTAGATTTGACTTCATTTCTGTTAAGAAGGATACATGCCAGAATTTCAAAGTAGTTTCTGTGACTCCCTGTACTTTACCTGTCTTTGAGCTTTATAAAGAATGTCACATTTTATAGTCTTCTCGTTCTTGCTTTTTTCATGTAATAGGTTTCTAGAAATTCATCCATATTGTTGCTTGTAGGAATAATCCATCCATTTATCTGCTGATGATATTCCACAGTTAATTTATCTATTTTCTGTTACTGAAGGGCATTTGGGTTGTTTTGGCCTGGCATGTCTATTTTTATTTTTGGTAAGATTTTCCAAGCTATCTTTCTTTGAGGATGGACCAATATTTTCTCCCAACCACCAAAAGATGATAATTTATAGTAGCTTTTTAACTGAGTTAGGTTGACATTTCTGAACCAGTATTTCAGATTGCAAAGTTTTATAAACTCGCAGGCATTATTAAACACACTGGAAAGAGACCTATGTTCCAATGGGAGCAGTGATGAGCTAAGGTCACCTCATCAACCTGGGCCCAGCTGGGAGGTTTGTAGATGTCTGAGGTGTTTTGTAACCTGGAAGAATCTCCCTGGCATGATCTTTCACCTTGGCTCATCTTCTGAATTGTTAGAGGGGCAAATGAAATGATATCTTTATTGCTAAAAGAATATATTGTGACATAGATGGAAAAAAAATCAGATGGACACTGAGGTAAAAAGCTGAAGTAAGAATGAGGTAAGAAGGAGATCAAGTTCCAAGAAGAAATTCTGATGAGGTCTGCAGACTGGCAGCAGGGCACCCGGGACAGAGATTGCCCTGACCTTGGGCAGGGAGGGACTTTCATAAAGGAAGGGAAGAGAGGGGAAGGGAAGGAAAGAGAGAGAGAGATCAAAGTCCAAGTTAGTTGTTCACCTTCCTTGAAAGGACACTGTTTCTCAGAATCCAGGCCCTCTCAGGTGGGGAAACTTCTGAATTAGTTTTTCTTGGGAATATTCCAGGCTCACCCTCATTGTAAACACGTTTGGAAATTCCCAACTCCAGGGGAGACTCTTCTGCCTCTTTTCTTTGTGCTGAAGCAACATAATAAGAATACAAGGCATATAGAAATTGACATTTTCATTTGAACCATTACCTACTCTGCTTACATGACTATTGGTTGTTAGTATTCCAAAGAATACTAATATATCATTAGAATGTCAATACAGTAAATGAGATACCATTTGATATCTTGTGTAGTTCCAAGGATTTACTTAAATATTGCTTTCCATTTGCTGTTTTTTTTTACTTGTTCATTCATTTATAATTCATTCATGCATTTAATATTTATTAAGTATTTCCTGTGCCAGAAAGCATGCTGGGCAGTGCTAAATACATGTTAGTTAGGACACAGTCATGACCCTCAAGAATCCTTCTGTTTACTGAAAATGAAAAGCAAATGTCCCTATTAAAGGGGAAATGTTCTCTGAGAGGTTTTTAGAGGAAGGATGGGAGGTTAGAAGATGGCCACATAACCCACGTAGGGAAGAAGAGATCTAGGGAAAACTTCCTGAGTGAGTTACTGCCTATACTGTGTATTCTTAAAATTCGTAGTGTTGGGGATAGAGTTGGAGGGAAAGATATGCTCACTGGCTTGGAGAGGGCAGAGAACTTTATATGGTCAAGGAAGTGACCTACAGATATGCAACTCAGGTGAGGGCTGTGGGTATAGATCTGGGGGTCTCAGAAGATAAAATATTTCCTGGGAAATGTCATTTCTCTGGCCAAGGTTTCCTTACAGCCCCTGATAAAGGGGCTGTATTAATGTGAAATGGTCAGATGGACAGAGAAGGAAAGGATATGAAAAGAGAGTGGACTAATTTTAAGCAACATTTAACCACCTACTCTCCTTCTTGCTTTCCGAGAAATGACATGATGTTCTCAGAAAGTAAAGCTTACAAATAAAGTTTCAAAAGTGAAAGCAGTTTATGCAAGCCTGGGGTTGAACTTTTCCTTTCTCTTTCCTCAGTCTCTTCCCCATCCCTAACCTGCTGCAAGGATTTCTGTTTCTTCATCTCCCTCAACCTGATCTAACATTTTCTACCTCACCACTGCTCATTTTCTCAGAATCACCAAATCCTATTGGACAGTGAATGTGGGGTAGCCCTTTCCTGCTGGATAGCAAAGTGCTCGAACATAAAGTATTATTTGTTTATTAACTACACTGCAGCAAAAGTGAAAGAAAATTGATGAGAGCATGCAAGAACAAAGGGCACAGTCAAGTTCGACAACACAGTTGTCCGGGCAGGGGATTTCCAGCTCAACTGTTTGCATATAAGCTGGATGCAAGGTCCGTTTGCTCAGTCTCTTCTTTCTGCTCCTTTGATTGCAGGAATGGCTCCCAATGCTTCCACCCTTGCTGTAAGTTTGCATTTAATAAAGGGTATGGGGAAAGGCAAAGCATTTTAAAGAGTTGGGAAGATATCTCAGGGATGGATAGTGTTCTAGAAGGAACAGTGGGAAGTGGGATGGTTGGGAAGGCATCTTGAAGGGGATGAATTAGGCATTGGGATCTGTAGAATGGGAAGGAGGGTGCTCAGAAGAGAAACTTGTTATCTGACTTCTGAGTTCTCTTGTGAATCAAACCTTGGACTGACTGCTGTTCAGGGTAAATGGTAAGAAGTGGGGGTGGACTTAGTGTGCAAGATTTAGAATTATGTCAAGATTTAGAATTATGGAAATTTTTTAAAGGTTTTCAAACTAAGTTTCTTGGTCCTTCCAAAGGATAGCTTTACAAAGCTCATTTATTAACTTATCAATGACCTAATGCAGACTTTAAAGAACAACATATGACCTATGAAGAGAACTTGGAATGAGGGCAAGGAGTATATGTGCCATTTAGGTTGGGAAGATTTTTTTTTAAAGATTTATTTATTTGAAAATCAGACTTATACAGAGAAGGAGAAAGAGAGAGAGAGAGAGAGAGAGAGAGAGAGGTCTTCCATCCGATGGTTCACTCCCCAGTTGGCTGCAATGGCTGCAGCTGTGCCTATCTGAAGTCAGGAGCCAGGAGCTTCCTCTGGGTCTCCCACATGAGTGCAGGGGCCCAAAGACTTGGGACATCTTCTACTTACTTCCCAGGGCATAGCAGAGAGCTGGATCAGAAGTGGAGCAGCTGGGACTGGAACAGTGCCCATATGGGATGCCGGCACTGAAGGCGGTGACTTTAACTGCTATGCCACAGCGCCGGCATCTGGAAGATATTTTTGAACAGGGCAGCTTTAAAGGGGCAACACAGAGGTGAAATTCACTACATTTCAGGATTTTTCAATTGTTGAAGTAGGACTGAGATGTAGTCTTTACCTTCTTTAAGTGAGGCTCTGGTCTAATTTAAGAAAAAGGTAATATTGTACCATAGGTGGATATAAAAAAGAAGTATAGGAACTATAGATTAACAGCAACACTGAGGATATGAACATAGTGTCACTGCATTAGGAAAGTTACTATAAAGCAATGGAACATTAGAAAAGAAACTACATGTCTTAATCTGGATTTTCTTGTAAGGTAGCCATGGAGGGGATTCTATGGACAGGAATATCCTGAGAGGCTGCCAAGTCTTGAAAATTGTTTGTGAGTTGTTTTTAGAATATGGTGTACAACTTTTGAAGCTTTGTAGTTGGATTTACTTTTTGGCATTTGACAAACTTTATCTGGACAGGAGAGGCAGGTAAAGTGGGAAATCATTATTATATTTTGAGATGAATAAAATGTATGGTTATAAGGTAATGACACTAATATTCTTGCTTATATTGCAACCTGGAAATTTTGAAAGAGAAATTCCAAGAAGGGGAAGGACACATATTGTTGTAGACAAGCCAGAAGACAAAAAAGGTGGTAGAAGGTGAGAACAATTAAGATAGGAGAGCCAGGGGTACAAGAATACTTAAAAAAAATTCATGAGGAAAAAGCATGAAGAGATAAATTTATTTTAGTGCATAAATGTTTGAAATCCATGTATATGAGAATAATGAGTGGCAGGCATTTTAGGCAACTAACTCTCTCTGGCTCTCATTGGGTAGGTGAATGTCTATTGTGAGACACAGGAATTAATGACATTCGAGGCCAACAGACATGACAGAGTACGGAAGATCAATGAACACGTGAGATCTAAGATCAAGATTCCTGTGCAGGAACAGGTCCTTCTGCTGGGCTCCAAGACTCTAGATCCACAGAGAAAGCTATCATCCTATGGCATTGACAAGGAGAAGACCATCCACCTCACTCTGAAGGTGGTGAAGCCCAGTGATGAGGAGCTGCCCTTGTTTCTAGTGGATTCAAGAGACCACGGGCAGAGGCATCTCCTGCAAGTGCGAAGATCCAACTCAGTGGTCCAGGTGAAAGAAATGATCAAGATCCTGACTGGTGCAGCCCCTAAAATCCCGAATGTGACTTGCAATGGAAAAAAACTGGAGGATGGGAAGATCATGGCAGATTACAATATTAAAAAAGGCACTTTACTCTTCATGACAGGTTACTGTATTGGGGGGTGACCACCTTGGGGATGGGGTGATAGTAGGAGTAGCAGAGCTTATTTTCTTTCGATTTACTCAGTAGCCACATCTTCTGATGTCTTCCCAAAATGAATGAGACTCAAATAGATTAAGATTTGGGTGAGGTGGGTAGGATGAAGGAAAATTTCCAACTCTATAATTCTTTGGTCCTAACATAGCTGATTAAATGGCAGGCTCTCGGCCTTTTGGCTAAGATCAAGTGTGTGAAAGGGCAGGATCATTTATAATGTATTATTGAGGATAGGAAGTAAATTTTTAATGTACACTTGAAATAGCATTCAAAGCTAACTTTTTGAAACTCAATCCTTTCTGATTTATAGAAAACTCCTATTTTTTTCCTCTGTAACAAGATAGTAAGTTTTAAATTGGGTTCCATGTTGTATTAATTTCTGTGTTTCTATATTAAACCCAGTGCTTCATCTATAATATCACTCAATTATTGCTGAACCAAATTGACTTTCTCCTTATAGAGAATAGTAAAATGACATGTGAAGAAGTAAATTAATTACTCTGATGATAATTATCATTAATAAATAATTCAGAGATTCAATTAAACTGCTTCCTCTCTCCTTTTTAAAAAAGCTGTTTGGTGTGAAGTGAAATCTGGAATCGTGTCTCCGATTACCCTCTATGTCACATATTTAGTTCCAATTGTTTTTACTTCTGCAGATGGTGGTGGGCATGATAAAGTCTTTTCAATATGGACCTGGAGATTTTGTGTCTCTAGAGGGGACCCTTGTGTGTGGATTACCTCAGAAGGAATGGACGTCCTGAAAGGTAGACACCGATGACCAGTCAGATGGCACACAGAGTCTTGAGTGACGGCTACAGGATTCCTTGAGGACAAGGAACCTGTCTCCCAAGTCATATTTCCTCTCTTGATGAGCTTAGGAGAAAGTTCGGGGGCCATTTTCCCCTCCCTAAACAGGTAAATATAGAGGAAATATTTATTTCCTTCAAGAATCTGAACATTTCCTGATGAGAGGAAGCAATCTTCTCCAATAACCTTGGACTCCCTGAGGACAAATCTTGTATTGTCACTAAATACATAAATAGCATGGAGGCTAGGCGGGCAGACTCTCCAGTGGGCATTTCCTTTCTTGGTTCCTGTCCAGTACCTTTGCCCCGCCCCAACCCAATCACTGTCCCGGGTGCCCTCTCCGCAGACTCCCCAGGAACCTCCTCGCGGCGCCCTTCACCTCCTTATTCCGGAGAGTGTAGATGAGCGGGTTGAGGGCCGGCGTGACCACCGTGTAAAAGAGCGAGACGAACTTGCCCCGCCCCTGGTTGTAGCTGTGTGTGGGCTGCAGGTAGGTGTAGATGGCCGAACCGTAGAAGAGGCAGACGGCAGTCAGGTGGGACCCGCACGTGCCCACCGCCTTCCTCCGACCTGCTCTGGACCGCATGCCCCAAACAGCGTGGCCCACGGCCCCATAGGAAGCCAGGATGACGGTGGACGGCAGCAGCAGGATGACCACGCGGGCGCCGAACATCTGGCGCTCAATGGTTTCTCTGCCGCCGCCGCAGGCCAATTTGAGCAGCGCCGGCAGCTCGCAGATGAAGTGGTCCAGCAGGCGCGGCGCGCAAAGCGGTCGCGCAGCCAGGAGCGCTGTTTGCGCGGCGGAGTTGGAGAGGCCGCCTAGCCAAGAGGCGCCGGCCAGCAAGCTGCAGAGACGCGGAGAGGTCAGCCCGGCGTAGTGCAGCGGGCGGCACACGGCGACCGCGCGGTCCAGCGCCATCACGGCCAGGAGGACGCATTCGGCGGAGCCTAGCGCCAGCGAGGCGCACAGCTGGGCCATGCAGCCGCCGCGCGGCAGCCAGAGCGCGGGGGCGCGCAGGTTGGCCAGCAGCGGGGGCACCACGCTCGTGGTGAAGCCCGCGTCCACCAGGGCCAGGTGGCACAGGAAGTAGTACATGGGCGTGTGCAAGCGCGGGTCGCGCACAGCCAGCAGCACCAGCGCCGAGTTGCCTGTCAGAGTCAGGAGGTAGCAGAGAAGGACAAGGACGAAAAGGACCGGCTGCAGGGAGGGCCAGTCGGAGAAACCCAGCAGGAGGAAGCGCTCCTCTGCGCTGTGGTTGCCCTGAAGAGGAAAACTTCCGGAATGTTTGAAACCAAAAGAGGACACCAAATGTGGGGGTGTGCTGGCGGAAGGGCCGGGAGCCCGTGCAATGTTTATTTATTGGCTGTACATTTACAGATCTGAATTTAGTGAGTCGCCTGCTACTTGTTCTTTGATACAAGGGTACTTCGAAAAGTTTGCTGAAAACAGACTTTAAAAACGGGGTTTATCTTGGTGCAAAAATATTTTAAGGCTGTGCATAGTTTGTTTCATAATACACAATTACTAGCTTTTCACAGATGACTTAATAAGTATAAATCTTATGAAGGATACGGAACTTCCGCTTTATGGGTGTACAAACTGAGGGCAGGAAAAGCTAATTTAGTTGTCCTAGGGGCTGACACTGTGGCGCAGCGGGTTAACGCCCTAGCCCATTCTAAGTCTGCCTCTCTCTCAGAAAGCACATAATGCCTAAAAATAATGGCAATGCCCAAAACCTGGCCTAACCAACCCTTGGTAATCAGCATTTAGCCTGCTTTGTTTCGGGTGCTCTGTTTTTATTAATACAGCTGCTAAATTAAAATAGAGATGGGAATGGAAGAATCCCAGAGCAGACAAAGCCAGTTAGATCTTCTAAGTGACCTTCACTTTGCTTGACTTGGAAACAAAAGCATTACTTGACCTATTTCTTGCAAATGCCTATATTAGAGGAAAACAGACCAACCAATCAGAAGCAGCCACCAGATGGTTGTGGCTGCCTAACTGCTCAAATGAACTCTAAATTTTTAGTATCTCAGTTAATGCAGAAATTTTTTTAAAAAATATTTATTTTCTTATTTGAAAGGCAGAAAGAACTAGAGAGACAGTGACAGAGAGGGATCTTCCATCTGCTGGTTCACTCCCCAAATACCTGCAATGGCCAAGACTGGGCTGGGCCAAAGCCAGAAACCTGGAACTAAATCTGGGTCTCCCACATGGATGTCGGAGACCCCAGTACTTGAGTCATTACTAATCTCTCCCAGTATACATTAGCAGGAAGCTGGAATCAGGAATAGAGATAGGACTCAGATGCAGGCACTCTGATATGTAATGCTAGTATCCCTGCTGCACCAAGGCCTGCCCCTTTTTGCTGTTGATTTCTGCTTTGCTGTGAACAGAGGCTGATTCCAATGTCCACGCCCTTGTTGATGTAAGAACTAATGTAATGATTGATATAAGTACTGAGGAACAAATGCTTTCTGTAGACCAGAAGTTAGACGTGGTTCTACCTAGCATAGCTGTCAGCTGGTATGGAGAACATGCAATTCCTTTTGTCTCAATTTGTTTATCTGTAAATCAGACTTTGAGCTAGATGGTCTCTGTGGCTTCTGTTTTGGCCCTCCAGCTTTAATATCAAATACTTCTCAATAAATGCCAAGGGAATAAAGGGGACACAGTTCTCTAGGATCTTTTGACCCTTGAATTATGTTTAACTATTTTAATGGGACAGAAACTATGATGATTGATATGATGGATAGATTTCATAGAAACCCTTCTGCTGTATGTTTTCTGATTGGTATTATAACGTAGACAGCTTATCTTAAACATCGTTCATTGCTCTTTATTGAAAAATGAGAATCTCTGATTTTTTAGTTCTCAGGGAAAAAACTCTTCCTTCCATGCAAAGAAAAATTTTGTTTACATGTTTCTCTAATTTTATCCTCATTAGGCAGAACAAATATTAATGTTGTGGTTAAAAACAAGCGCTTGGGAGGGGGACTACTTGGATTTGAATTTTGGGTTTATTGTTTCCTAGCTGAGCAACTTTGGACATATTGCTTAACCTGTCTGTGAGCCAGTTTCCTCATAAGAAAACAGAAGTAGGTGAAGAGCACCAGATATACAAAGTTCTGGGGCCGGTGCTGTGGCATAGAAGGTTAAGCATCCACCTGCAGTGCCGGCATCCCATTGCGGATGCTGGTTTGAGTCCCAGCTGTTTCACTTCCTTTCTAGCTCCCTGCTAATGTGCCTGGGAAAGCAGCAGAAGATGGCCCAAGTACTTGGGTCCCTGCACCCACATGGGAGACCCAGAAGAAGTTCAGCCTGGCCCAACCGTGTCTGTTGTGTCCAACTGAAGAGTGAGCCAGCAGATAGAAGATCTCTGTCTTTCCCTCCCCTTTTCCTTTCTCTCTCTCTCTCCCTCTCTCTCACTCGCCTTTCAAATAAGTAAAATAAATCTTTAAAAAAACACACAAAGTTCTTAGAACAGCTCCTGGCACATAGGAGATGTTTAGTGAGTGTTAACTATTGTCATCCCTATTTCAGGAACAGGAAATAGGTTTTTAAAAAGAGTTCTTCCTACACTTGGTAGTGACAGAACTGGTATAAAAATTCATAGTCTTTTTTATATATTAGCTCTGATTTTTACTCACCTGAAAATTAGACAATGAGCTTATTTTAAGAAGCAGGATAGCAGGTAAACTGAAATTCAATAATTTGGGGCTGGTGCTGTGGTGTAGCAGGCTAGATGGCAGATGCTGGCATTCCATATGGGTACTGGTCATGTCCTGGCTGCTCCACTTCCGATCCAGCTCCCTGCTAATGTGCCTGGGAAAGCCGGAGAGTATGGCCCAGGTCCTTGGGTCCCTGAACCCATATGGGAGACCTGGAAGAAACTCCTGGCTTTGGATTGGCCCAGCTCTGGTCTTTGCAAACATTTGAGTTGTGAAGCAGTGGATGGAAGATTTTCTCTCTCTGTCTCTTCTTCTCTCTCTCTAACTCTGCCTTTCAAATAAATAAATAAATAAATAAATAAATTTTTTTAACGAATAAATTCACTAATTTGTCTTGGGTCACCTTGTTTGCACATGCTTGATAGGATTTTTACTCTAATCTGAGTAACCTCAGAGTCCTTGCCCTTCCCCCTTTTCTATAAAGAAGGCTCTGTTAAGCTACAGACTATGAAGAGCAAGAGGACAAGCTAAGAGACTTTTAGCTGGAAAGTTATTTATTTGAAAGGAGAGGTAGGAGAAGAGAGCAAGAGACAGAAAGTAAATTTGTAGATAATTTTACAGCATTGAGGTTGTACTGGACATGAATAAGGTACAAGAGGTGACCTTTATGCTTATGACCTAATGGTAGCCTGAGAAGCTGTTACAAAACTTTAGATTCTTCAGTGCTATGATTACACTATCACACAGCAGTTCAGTCAGGCGAGCTCTAACCCTTTCCTCTATAAACATGCCACACCATGAAAATAGGCACACAGTGGTAACATTGTACAGATGATATACTGCATGTGTGCACAAGTCCTCCAAATAGCTCAAACATGTACACATATACAATCAGCCCAGCATTCTCTCTCATACCCAGAGGGCAAATTCTTCGTAGAACACTTTGTATACTGTGTCTGCAAGCCTCATTTGATATTCTAGAATGTATTTCTCAACTGAAAGGTTATTTTTTTCCCTTGGCAATGTTAACAGCAAACTTACCTTCATGTCTGACCCTGATGTTTAGACCTTGGCTTTTCAGATCATAAGCTGGTTGCTTGCTCCTGCTCTGGATTCTCTAGGTTTGAGACAGTGGAGGGAGAGATCAACAGAAGATCCAGTTGCATGTCTGTGTTAATTTCTGGAATGGGTGCCTTAGATCAGTGTCATGTGTCTCAGCAAGAAGGGAGGGTGTGGGTGCCATCTTCCTCTCAACAGAGGAATGAACAGCACATCTGGAGAAGGAGGTATTTAAGTCTGTGAAACACAGATCCAGGCATAAGTGGTGACGTCTGTTGGAGAGTTTCGTGATGGTTACAGACAAGGCAAGGATTTAACCTTGCACTGGTTACAAATCAGCAGTAGTCAGGTGGTAGCAAACATATTGTTCATGAGGCTAAAGGGCGTGGAGCTGGAGAGAAGAAGGGAACATGCCGATGACTGGAGAGGACACAGGGGAATCGACTTCCCCTGTTATCTAGAAGAGAGGACAGAGCTCTGGGGAATCTATATCCCACTCCTGTAATTAGAACTTTGCATGGAGGTGTCCAGAGAGAAGTCTCCCAGGGTGAAGAAGAGGAAAGTCCTTGCAGTGTGTGAAGGCCAGAGGCAGGCTAGTTCCCTTTCATTTTCATTTCTCTTGGAGTTTTTCTCGGTTGAACGATCTTAAGCTGGCTGCTTAGCCTCAGTGATTCTGTGTTGCTATCTGCAAAACTTGGAGGAAAATCTTTAGTTGCCAGAGATGCAGATTTGTTGACGTCATCCTCGGTTTTGAATGCAGCTTTCTTATGTCATTAGCTTTTGCCAACCACACTCCTCTTTGACGTCATCCCCCCCATCCCCTTTGCTCCTTCTAATTCTTTTAAGATTTTTTAAAATGAAGATTTATTCTCACTTCCTTCTTCAGTTAAGGTCTAGAAATGTATTTTCTAAAAAGATTTATTTTATTTATTTGAAAGACAGAGTTATAGAGAGAGGTAGAGACAGAAAGAGAGATTTTCCATCTGCTGGTTCACTTCCCAGACGGCTGCAATGGCCGGAGCTGCGCTGATCCGAAGCCAGGAGCTTCTTCTGGGTCTCCCACATGGGTGCAAGGGTCCAAGGACTTGGGCCTTCTTCTGCTATTCCAGGCTACTGCAGAGATCTGGATCAGAAGGGGAGCAGCCAGGTCTACAACTGGTGCCCATATGGGATGCTAGCGCTTCAGGCCTGGGCTTTAACCTACTGCACCACAGCTCCGGCCCCTGGAAATGTATTGTCCTTTACTTCCTTTATGTCTGCTCTCCTCTTATCTGGCTTAGGTTACCATGTCAACCATTATAGTCACTCCTTTGCACACTCTCGGTGCTTCACTTCATTATATTCACTTGGATAATTGCTATCTTATCTAAACTCAACTATAGTCCTACTCTTTCCCTACGTTTGTTCAGCTGATTGAAGAAAAGCACTACACTCTAGAGAGCAGGGACTAAAGCATTTGATAATCACATTATGCACCCCTAGTCCACTCACTTGTACACATTCTTTATATATCTAGTACAAACTTTCTGGTCTTTCCTCAAATCTGTAATATTCCTCCCTCCCCACTCTTACAGAATATCCTGCTTTCCTAAATAATAATTTTATGTCACTGAAAAAATTTTAAAGAAATTATGGGAGAAATTCCATAAGCTCTCATCAACCCATCTCTCCTACTTGCATGCATGCTCATACTCACCATCTTTTTGTGT